TTTTTGAACATGGCCTGAACTTTTCATTTTTATGATTTTTTTGGGATATCACCTACTTTTCAGAGTACAGATATACGGAGTAGCTTTCTAGTAATGCAAGTATCACAAATGTATATATTTTCGATTTTTATCACGTAACTTTCTATAAGCTACAATTTATGCAATATTAGAAAAAATTGAAATATATGGTATATACATATATAAATATATAATTACATATGTAAATATATAATAATATATGTATATAAATATATATTATGTACATATACATTTTATTTAATAGTATGTATGTAATTATTTATATAATTTTAATAAATATTTACCGTACATTACATATTTATTATATTTCAATTGCAAGAGAATGAATTTATAATATTCTATGAATATACTGAAAATAAAAAATGGGTCCCTACATCACCCATTCTTGTGAGAACATAAGCATATTTTCTTCGTCTCTTCGATTTTAATACGATCTTTGACATAGAGATTTTTTTCTTGATGATACTCATTGAAATATCATAAAGTTATTCGATAGTAAATTTTTATTATTCATAGTAATATATCGATATAATGAATAATAGATTTTTTTGACAAATTACATTTCACTTTAGAAAAAAATCATGTTTCGACAATATACATATATACCATATTTTTCAGTAAACTAAAGCGTACTACATCTGGTGCAAACTACATCCGGTGTAAAAAAATTTTTGATATATAACTAATAACAGGGGGAAGCTGCAACAAGTCTTCAAACAGAAGAATGTGTTTTCTGCCAAAGAAACCATCATCTGTATCTGTCGTATCAAAGATTTCACATAATCGTAGATTGATAACATAAGTGTCACATTCGAAATCATGGATACAGCATCGATTATAAATAATTCGACAGTCTTTAATTTGTCTCTCAAAGTTTTCAAAACCATGTCTGACAAGTGCATATACTTTACCGTAGATTCATAGGTCACGGGTAGCTGAAACATTCCATAGATCGTCAAGCCATCGATATTGAATGCCGCGATACGCGTGGAGCAGATATGGCAGTCGCTTTTTTCAAATGTATTTTGATCCGATGTTTAATCGTTTCATACATGGCGTATACAATATCGATCGAAATATGGCGTATACAATAAATTAATCCCTTATCATACAAGGGATTCCCTAGTAGTACGTCCGCAGCTTCTAAAGCACTGCATTCTCTGTTATTTAATGAAAGCAAATTCCACAGTTTCGATGTCAAGGGTTTATTGGAATCTATCATTGCAAAGTCTGTATTGCATTTTTCCGATTTCATCGTGTATTTTGTTACGTATGAGTTTAAAAACTCTGATGTTTCTCCAATAAACTGTATGTCCATATTTCCCTCCCAGGTTAATTTGATAGCCGGATTATAATTATTGTTAAACAATTTCTAATATGGCTGTCCGCGGCCCATTATCATTAGAGACCGCGAAGAGGCAGCAGAGGAGGCGGGCGAGAAAGAAATAACAATAATAATAATAAATAATTATAGGTAATTTTTAAAGCTTATAATTTATCGCCCATTATTGATATCAAATCTTTGATGTACCTGATACATATCGTTAAAATTAAGTAGATTTTTTATTTTTAGCACTACTCATTACAAGTAATGTCTTCAATAAATAAATACGTAATACTTAACAATTACCTCTCAAAATTGACTTTTCCAAGCTTAGCACAAAATTAGTATAGTCAGTTATCGTTGCAATAAAGTCGTTAGCAAGTCGTTTTTATAAATGATAAAATTTATGGCGTTACTTTACTTCCCATCCCTGCATTTTTTATAGAAATATATTTGCGTGAAATGTTCCTTTTCAATTAGTTATTCAGTCAGACGATTCATAAAATAAGAACCATAGAAAGATTCTTAACTATAAAAATTTAAACTTTGGGTAGCCTTTCCATCAGTGTTTTAAACATTTCGGTAACTTTTACTTAATTTTATTCCTTTCTCCAATCTGGAATTATTACTTAACATAGATCTACGGCATACGATACTTGTTTTCCCACTACATTTCCTGCAATCTTCGAAAGGTGTAGCAGTCACCCATCTCACGTTAAAAAGTTATTAAAAATGAAATAGGAAATTCAATTCCAATGACGCTGACCGTGACACATATTGTCAAGGTAATGACCCTTAGTGACCATCGAAGGGTTTCGTCAGTCGCTCGTTGCTTATTAAGAAGTTATTAAAATTAAAATTGACTTTCGATGACCTCGAAGACAATGTCGATCTTGACATATATTGTCAAGTTCATGTCCTTGAATAACCATGGACACGTTTTGGTAGCCGCTCGTTGATTATTTAGAAGTTAGTAAAATTAAAATGGACAATTCAACTCCGATGACCTTGATCCTCCCACACATTACGAAGGTCATCACCGAACAACCTTCGGAAGGTTGCAGCAGTCACTCATCACACGTTACGAAGTTATCCCTAAAAATTAAAATGACCCTGACTCATATTGTCAAGGTCACAATCCTGAGTGACCATCGGACACTTTCAGCAGGCGATCGCTACTCATTAAGAAGTTGTTAAAATTAAAATGCACAGTTCACCACCTATGACCTTGACCCTCTCACACATTATGAATAGTCATTATACCGAACAATTTTCGAAAGAATGTAGCAATCACCCATCATGCGTTACAAAGCTATGCAAAAAAATTAAAATAGCCCTGACTCATATTGTCAACGTCACGACCCTGAGTGACCATCGGACACTTTCAGCAGGCGGGGATGAGAGAGGACGAAAGAGGGTGAGAGAAGACGAAAGAGAGTGAGATAGGGCGGAAAATAGAGGGTTGGTGCAGGTGGGAGATGTTGGAGGAGGGGGGGAGGGGGTAATGACAAAGAGACGAAGAGCTTAAGAGA